GCTTTCAAATCGATCTGAGCCCAGCGGGAACGCGTTTCCCTGGAATTCCGAGGGAACTTTGACACTTGCAGCAACAACTCATATATCCCTCTTCTCACAGCATTATTCCAGTTGCCTCCCGAGTGTAGAGTAGTCAGACGGTGAACGGAACACAAATCAACTTGATATACAAAGCTAAATCCCAGAAACCACCATCTCAGAAAGAGAAATAGCTGCTTCAAAATATACAACAGAACATTTTTTTCTCGTAGGAACTAGCCCATGTACCATGGCCCCAGTATCCAGACATCGCAAGCTGAATTTTCTCAGAACTTCGGGAACATTTACTATTTCCCAGGGATGTGCCTCTGGCATTTAAGCCTTAGATATGATGAAGAAAGATAGAGTACTTTATGGCAATATCGAATGGGATCCACTGCAACAGCCGCAGCGTTTTACAGTGCTTCATCGCTTATTGGTGCGACCGTGGTTTGTATTTCAACGGACAGAAGCCGATTATTTCACTATCCAAAGATTGCAATGGTTGCTGGAAACGTGGTGTTCTGGCTGTTGTGAACGGAAAACAGTCACTTTTAGTGTTTCTACAGGGGGGGTTCTGCGGAGACCGTGGCGCGAAAGCCTACTAACAATTAGGTTTCTGTCTTTGGCCCGCGCCACAGTTGTTAAAGATAGAGTCTTGCTACAATTCTGGCCTTGTTTCGCGAGTTCAATCAATTGCTTACTTGGTCACATCTACGGATAAAAGCCGAGCACCCAGCTGCCGTTGGCATCGGTAAACGTTTCCATCGGTAACTTAAATGCGCAACGACTGTGTTGCAGTCAAGAACACAATGGTCAGAACGTCTTCCTTGCATCGTTCTTTGTACTCATAACACCATTAAAGATGACATTGGTTGTTGATCCGCTGAGGTCACCTTCGGCACCACACTCAAACTCCATGGATTCAAGGATGACTGGAGAATCAATCGGACTTCGAACGTCATACTTCCTAGGCAACAGTTAAGCGCGGTTCGTCAAACGCTGTCTGAGTAAACAGGTCCGCTCGGATTTAAACACTTGTCCCTTCTTTCTCGTGTGCGACGACTCTCTCCGTAAACCACTGACAACGCATTGTGATAGTCCCTTCAAGGTAGTTGATCGGAAGGAGAAGTACTTTGTGCTGGACAGAATTAGTTACTAGGATACTGCGAGTACTGATCATTCAAAGCAAACTTACATCGAGATCCGACCACTGCAACAAGTTACACTCATTCCTAACATCAAACAGCCCAGTTCCCAAGTACGCCTACACTTATCCTAGGTGTGATAATTCTGTTCTCTCCTTTACACTCAAGCAGTACATGACGCAAACTCGAACTCACCCCACCGCGTACGCTTCGGATGTACAGATTCCTTCCATTATATTCTAGTCAGCTGCGATAAATGCAACGCCACTCTCGATTAATAATCGCGGTAACATACGCTTTAGAAGGAGTTCAGTAGTGCACATACAATTCTGTCCTTGCTACTGTACTTACTTATTCCCGTTCCCATCATTTATGGTATAATTTGTTTTAATTGTCCACAACCAATGCACCCTGCGTCAGTGTTACATGCCCCTTTCTTCTTATGCCCCGCATGTTATGCTGTCGCTCGTCGGTTCGCTTGCCACAATCATCGATAGAAGGATCTACCACACAGCGCTGTTGTACTAATTAGAACCTTGCCTTCCTTATCCCTTCTTCCATTGACGACTCGATCAAACACAATCACACACGTACCGTTACATTTACAGCTTCATTTAACATGGCCACATACATATTTGCATGCACACACACATATACGCACCTAAATACTGCTTGCAACTGGCTAACTTGTAATTTATTTGTACAATTACCGATCTTTCGTGCTGGTATTACCATATTTATGCCTATGCAGACGTGCATTGTATTGTCGACAATAAAAACTTAGTTATTTATTGGATTGCGCGGCGAATTTCGTGACAATGATGGATCTTGCTTTACCGAATATCGGGCCGACTAGGATTTCCATTACGCGCTGTATCAATTTGACTTAATATCTCCAACACAAACCGAGCACACTTGACTTTACGCTATTTCTGTAAGTAAAAGCAGCTGGCGACTCGAATCCGGGATATTGACACTGCTTATCCATCGGACTATAATGTGCTCCTCCTCCTAAAAACACTAAGCAGGCTGTATTTGCATCGGTGTGGTTATCTTTCTCACAATTTGATTTGATCGTCAGTAAGTAAGCCTTTTGGCAATAAAATGGATCAAATTAGGGTTCTCAGTTTATTGTAGGAAATTTTCTACAGCAAATTTCCATAGGCGAGAGTTGTCGAAAAAAATAAGTACCGTGCGTACTAGCAGTTAGAAGAGGAGTGTACTTGTATTCTTCGCTAATTTTATCTCTGGCGATTCAAGGAATTTAAACACTTCAAGACATATTGGAGGGTCAACTTGAAGTACACCTTTTGTGGATGGATTGTGACGTGCAATCTCAAAGTGGACCGCGATTCCTATTGAAGTGAACATTGGCCATTCCATCACTAGGACCGTAGCTGATGAAGCATCAGCAAATTGGGTGTTAACCTCCCTCCCGAAAACACTACACTCCATGACGGGTTTTGATGTTAATATAACTCACGACTAACATCCCAATTGTCCTAGGTTTGATGCCTGCTATCTCCATCTGATGAGATGTAAAAACATCGAAACTTGTCATCGAGTGCACTGTTTTCGGGCGGGCAACACCCAGTTTCCTTCTGCTCCTTCAAGGCATGCTTTAATCGCCTTTCAGATCCATAACAATAAGCTTCATCATTATCGTATCTGTAATCAATATGTCATTTGACGCAGTACCAGAGAGCATTTAAATTAAGTTCTGACTTCGCTATTATTTGGCGCAGCAACTACCTCCGAAATTCGAATGCAACATCCGTTGTTTTGTGTTCCACTAAGGCATGAGCGAAGCTGCCGATGAATCGTTGTGCAGTTATCAGCTCCACCATCATCAGAAGTGGCTTCGAATGATATCCAATACCCAACCAATTTTACGATAATGATGCTTGTATTCACACTATGTTAGGCTGGGCCTAATAACATATTTTAAACATTACAAACCACCAATTTTAAGAAGCACGCAATTTCTTCTACGCCTTTCGGTACACCTACAACTCATTTTCACGCATGGACAAAGGAAGCGACAACAAATGCAGAATGACAACCCTGCTAGCATAATTCCAGTTTCCTTCCAGATATTCTGGCAAGCTTCCCATAGAAAGCGTGAAGAAATACTGGAATATTCCATACCCTTTTAAAAAGGCGAAACACGTATACTTTCTCAGTTTTTACCCAACCAATCAAAAACGGCGCATTTAATAACCAATGAAAACGCTTCCCCAAGGTTTCCACACACATGAGCGCTCAGGCTGGACTGTAAACAATGTTATCCCCAAGCCTGCCACGTTTACAAGTGGATTGATGACTTTTGGCTGGTTCAAAATCTCATAAATTGCGAATGTTTTCTCAAACTACTAGGTTGCAGGGCCAAAATTTACAAAGTACCTAAAGCGCTATAGACGGCTCTCGCTTGAAGTTTTCACTTAATTCATTCGTAGAGTTGAAGTCAGATACTGGTAGCGACAATCGCATTCATGCCCATGCTGACGAACTCTTACCTGTTGATCAGCTTTAGCGACACTCCGACGCGCTATATATTCTCGTCCAAGTCCCATTATCCAGATCATAGCGTTTATGTTGTACACAATTAGTTGGTTCCCAATTTTATATACATATTTTTTATATCTATATCTGCGCCTTTTTCTCGTTCACCTAGCTGGTATTTTTAGATTATTTCATTTTTATTTTCTCAGAATCATCATGGTTCCTGTTTTACCGAGCTAGTTTTTCCAGGCGTGCCCGAGGATCCGAAAGAAAACGAAGCATAACACACTGAGCTTTGACTTACGCGAGAAATTTTTGTTGTGTCTCTGTGTCAGCCAGCTCAAACACTCGCCATTTTTACATCATAAGCAACTTATTGATGCAGATATAAACCGCCACATGGGAAGTATACAATGTACACATTTGCGCATTTGTCAGAGCAGACGCCATTTAACCCTAGCGTTTCTTTGCATCCGTAATGGCCAAAGGATCCCGTTGTGCCCAAGAAGAGGAACCTCACGCAAATGGGTCACTTTAGAGGCCAAAGGGTGGTACAAACTCTACAACTGTTCCGGATTTCTCTATCCTCCCTGTTACGCAACTACGTATACCCACAACTGGTAAGATTTGTTAAGTACAATTTGATTACAAGCCAAACAGACCAAGTAGCAACCCGATATTTCTTCTTCCTGGGACTCGTCAGTGTGGGTATACCCTCGGTCTTCTTCCCGATACCCAATTCATTACCGTTACTAGCTTGCACCACTAGGCAGAAACTTACTACACCGAGTCGTAAGGAACGATAGCTGATGACTGCAATACAGCCAAACCATTGCTCTACTGCCCTGCAAGATACTGCCCGCACAGAGAACAGTGAATGGCCCTCAAGTATCGTAAGTTCCCTAGCAGTAGCCATGAATCCACAGAGCATTTCGCCAGTTGTTGAGACTAATCTTTCACTCATACTTGGAAAGAGTCGAAAACAACATAGGAGAAATAAATTAGAACATGATTTATATGCTTCCGGTTGCATGCTACCAGTACTTTTTTCTTGTCCTTGGTTGGTTCAACCTGTGTTGGCTCAATTTATTCACCCAATCGACTACCGCACATAACTACTCCCTGGTGCTTATTGTTTGAGATTACTTAAAGTACAGCCAAGCGAAGCAGTCACTTGGGTTTTAAATGATGATCCAGCAATCAGCATCCTACATATTTTGTATCAACGTTGGCGTTGTATGTTTGAGGGAAAACACAAATAGTAGGCAACTAGACACACACACAGTTTGAAAGCTGAAGAAGGGGATACACACACAAAAATCACAGCTCATGTGAAGCGGTTAGTCTGAAGGTGTTAGAACACGTGTAATTCCACAAACGTTTACAAATCGCAATAGGTTCAGTGACCATTATGTCCGATTGAATACTTCACGGTAAACCTGCGACCACTTCCGCCTCTATGTTGCATTCATTTCTGCCGCGTCGCATTCGGAAGAAGCCTTGCTCACCCCATTCTGCATTCCATGAATTAGCCAACAACCAATACGCCGTTCCGTTTTCGACTCCCCAGCCAAGGATACGCACAGCGTGGGCACCCACAAGGGTGCCCTTCACGTGATGGTAGATGCCACTCTCGTACGACATGAAGTCCTCGTATACATCAAAACTTGCCTCTACTGGTCCATTCATGTAAATTTCCTTCATTATTTCTTCCGCGCTCTGTGGTACGTTGTATGAGGCCCACGCTGAAATAGGAGAACCGGTATTACTTGGTTGGTGTATCTGACCTGGTACTTAAGTGCTCATCTACGGAGCTCAGTTACGGAATCGTCAAATATCCTGCACTGATTTCACTGCGCTAGTACAGCAATGTTTACAAGTCAACGGGCTCGCACCATGAAGAAGGCAACGACAGTAATAATGACAGTGTTAGTAATGACATTAACTGAATATCCAGCCAGAAACTAGTAGCGTTCTGTGTTATCTTAGACGGTTTGCTGTTTCGCCTTGTATTAACCGATGCTTTAACTCCACTTTTAAACCACAAATAACAAGCTTTTCAATACACTGCACCTGGTTGCTCAGTAGTCAAGTATACTTGCCTGATATTAGTATTTGTCTCATAATTGCGATACATAACATACTCTCACATATATGCCATCCAGCAGACAGTCTCAACCGATGAGTTATGCATCAACTGCGCTGCTCTACTTGCATCCTACTCACAAACATTCAGCGTCTCACACGGTTTATCCCTGTGTGCCGTCAGAACCGTCCGGTCTTACTGGCAGTCATCTTGGGTGAGCTGACACCCGTGAAAGCAGCACAAAGGGCAGCGATGCTATACGTGCACGCATCTGTGAACTACTTGACAACCTGGTTACAAGTGTATTGCTTTCAATTGCAACCGATTCATAACCGATATGTATCGTACCTTAAGTACACAGAGAGTTTCAACCAAAATTATAGCTCAACCGAGGAAATATTTGCAGTAACGACCAGCTGTTTAAGAATCACGTCGCTCATGCTCTCACATGACTCAGGGCATTAGTCGAAAACTTTCGGAGCCAATACCAAATAATTAGTCCTCCGCAAAGTTCGGAAGCAGCGATAAGTTTCGATCAAAGCCTTCCGTATGTCAATACGAGCTCGGCCCGTATTATTGCAAATCGAGATTATTTGCCTTCCAAGCAAAACTATTACAAATGAACTGATCCGTCCAACTCGTAGGCGTCTAATACACCAATGATTTTTGCCACATTTTAGTGATGATTGAACCTAACTAGACACAGAGCAAATTCGTTCCGGAAAGCAAATAACTCGACTTGCTATGGTACATCAAACGGACCACAAATCATTAAAAAGAAAGATTTTTTCAACGCACTACTTCTTATTTGAATAACTGATAGGTGTACAGAAATTCGCCGTCCTTGAACTTTTGCATTTTTCAACATACCGTTAGCCTATGTAGTCCAATAGAGTTGCCTGAAGAGCTCGCTTTCTGCCCAGTAATGCGACATGTATGCTGAGTAACGAATTGGGATCTAGCATCTTGAGATGAGCCGCTGGTAAACACCGGATGTCTGCTTGTCACCAATGTGCAGAATAAGAGCTTTAAGTACGTACCTTCTCAAGCATTACGTCTGAGAGAATCCGGTTTTCTGCAGTAAAATTACTCGTACAAACGTCATAAAAATCCTGAGTTTCATCCGCTTCCAGTGTTGCGCAGTTGTGAAGATGAGTTAAAATCGTACTCAAAAAGTTACCCACTAAGGTTGGGCCATCTGTTTGAGTCAAAAGGTGGACTTCATAATGTTAGTCACTCACGTACTTATTCGTTCGAGAATTCATACTCAAAGCTATGTGAATACCTGTTATAGCGTGACTTTTTGGTGACTCACACTTGACTTTGTCCTCAAAGTAGGAACCGTTGTACGAAGGTTGGCACTGATAAGTGCATGGCGGTGTTTTGTACAAATCTTCGTTGCACTTGGGTCTGGTTCCTTTGCCGTGATGGGTGCACTCCGGAAAAGGATACGGTGCACATCCGGTTGGCTCTGAATATGATCCACCCGTAACGATTCCTTCATTCTTCCAGAAATCCCACGCCAGACCTGGCCAGCCTCCTTCACAGCCATCTCCGCAATTTTCGCAACAGGCAAGCAAATCCAATGCGCTGAGTGTAACATTGTGTTTGCCTTTGGAGTGAATGCATACGCGGTCGCTCATTGATTCAACAGCCCCGAAAGCCTTTTAAATAAAAAGTATACATTCCGTTTGGTGATTTCCCTCTAGTCATGGAAAGAGACAGCAACAGCGCAGAGCACACAGACGGTGAACATCACTTTGGAAATGTCTTAAGCGCACGGACTGAGTGAACAAGTGCAGCCAAGTGGCAGGCCAGATGTTTGCATACTCCCCAGGCAACATTGAAAAAACAAATAAACAATGCTGTGTATCTACCAACAGTCGAAATACAATCCTTAGGTGGGAGATATCATTTATACACAGAAGTAGTGACAACTTCGGTGCATTAAAATAAAATATCGCTGTCAGATCAAGTGTAAATTTCAAGTAAATCGCTAATCAATAGTGCGTAACTATAAATGCCGCTCAAATTTCAGGCAATGTTGATCGCCTTGTATATCGTTCAGTTATTGTCGTGTGTTGCAAAAATCGATCGTCTACGTTATGTATGGCACACAAAGGAAAAAGAAACTAATTAAATTACACGGTCGTCGAACCAACGATAGAGCTTCTTCAATCCCTGGACTGATCGATGGATAAGGTCTCCACCTTAACCACTCACCCAGTAGTTGTGAAACATCTAATGCTTATTTTGTTGTTTACATTAACCAAGAGACTGATCCCATAAGTTTCTGCCCGGAACTTGCAACCACAAGCGTCATACACCATGTCTAGCTTTCTCACTCGAACGTTTAAAAGCCGATTAAGTCATCAAACCATCATTCAGACAAAATTCAGATGGCATCACCACACCCGGCATTATAATCGGTGGGCCTGATATATCGCTCCTTTTGTTAAACATGTTCACCTTGTCGTTATTATTTGGTTATTTTTCGGATTAATGCAATACATTGTTCATTACTCCTGGTCATTAAATGGATCCCAAACGGAACGGCGCTTATTATCGGACTACGTTTCACACTCTTAGGATTACTCGATTGCTCGGAAAATTAAAAGTGAAGTTATGAGTTTTATCTATCAACGTCGGTTGCCTAACAAGTCCCAGCATAAGCTCCTCAACAAACCCACCTGTATAACACCAGTTGTACTACGTGGGTTATATCACAGATTCCGATGACTCCAGTCATGCAGTTGCAGTGTCATTTCTGGTTGTGCAAACATCAATCGAGCGTGTGACTCACAAGAAATTCATGAAAAATTGCGTCATTTACGCTCATATATCCACTACTGGGTTGGCTAACCTCGTACGTAAATGGGCCGCACTGAAAGTAACTATTGCTCTCCGGCACGTATAATCGCCTTCGGTGCCATCCAATGTAACCCACCTTATCTTTCCGCTTTCCTACCCTTTAGTAACGATCTCAAGATGTTCATCAAACATAACAGATAATTTTTGTTTGTTGACGACATTAAGATTGTTTCTAACTATTGACGAGATGAGTTCCAAACCACCATGTTGCTGGCTTAATAGTACATCCACTCACTTGAGAAATGATGTGAGTCTTGGCTGCTAAATTTCTCCACTACTAAGTTTAGTCAGTTAAACAGAATAATGAAGGCATGTGTGTGAAGCTGTATAACTGTGCTCTAGGCATGCGATACTCTCCAAACTTCAGCTTATCAGATCAGGCCGAAAATCAAATATTACACTACAAAGGATCTATAACTAACATATATCATATAATCAATACTGTCCAAGCCAAAATCGAACTTTTCATGATCCTCACACCTCCCAACATTAAAAACCGAAGCATTTTTTAGGGTAACACGTGCATGTGTGACAGAAAAGCTCTGGAAAACATGCAAAGATCATCCGTTGAATGTTTGTTCAGTAAGGCGTCCAATTTGTGATATCAGAAGCATTGGCAGTAGTCGCACCTCGAGCCTCTCAGGTTGCGACGACTGAAACATAACCTAGCGCTCATGCACAATCCCATAAACCAAAAGACATTCTACAATCTCTACACATTAAAACTGTAACACAATTTAACTCGACGGCTTCGCAACAAAAGTTGTAAACTAAGTGTACCAAGAACCAGGGTGGCTATTCGTTCTAAATTCATCCTCGTCAAATACGCTGCCTGTGGAATAAGTTACAGCATCTATCAAGTCTTACATAAATGCAACACATTTCGCATTAAATATCTCAGAATAGGCTTGGAACCGAGTGGGATTTCATGATTTCGGAGGGTTTTGAATCTAACTCGGTTTTGATTGGTGTTTATTGTAGCTCTTGACACCACACTAAAAACCCACAAAAACCGATTTGTATTCAAAACTGCTGAAATCAACACGCATTAAACATAGAAATTTCCTAAACCAGAACTCGATAGTGACCACGTTTCTAATGGGAAATACACCAAATTAGTTTTTTCAAGAAGGACCAAAGAATATATAGCCAATGAGAGAAGCTGTTGCACAAAACTCAACACCAACTAAAACTATGCGTTTCAGTGCTACAGAAAGCATATCTCACACATACATGAGCACGATAATTACTGTATTAGTGAAATGTCTCTATTTCAGGAACAGTCACTCTCATTCAAGTCAATAAATATACGTATTAGTATTATTATATACGAATAGGGTACTCAAACTTTGACACAGGTGCGATACAAGTGACCAATATCGCGGATTCAGGACTAGTCGACATGTGCACTATAATTTAGCGGCGGCGCTACAAAAGTGCTGTAAGCCTCGCCTAGCATGGCGTAAGACAGCTGAACACTGGTAGATAAGTTAAAGACCAGTTCAACTGGCCTGCTGTGACACTATCAATCGTTGAATCACCTGAGACCTCATGGAAAGTTGATATCATACGTCCCAATTTGCAACAGATTCGACATCAGCTCGCTGTGTTGAGCTAAATAAGGCTCATGGACCTGAAAGATGGAGGTGATTAAAAAATTGACTGGACTTGTTGCTCCATTTAACACCCCGCATGGGATATTAAGTACATAATTTGGGCGAAGCCGCGAGGTGACCAGTTCACGGCTGGCATAGTGGCTTGAGGCAATTGACGTAAATAATTGGACAAGTTGGTGCATGCCGCGTTCTATGATGAGGGCCTCAGGATTGTCCACATCAATGCTTGGCGCATTTGTTTTCGTGCATATAACTGTTAATTTTCATTCTAACCTATTCAGTTTAACGCACATGTTTCGCGCTTGCACTTTGTTTAAATTCAATTTTCATGCAACGCCATTTTCTTGTTGTTGTTATTTACTGTTATTCTTGTGGCTAGCCATACAGCCTCCCCGTGGTGCCAGCTGGGTGGTTCGGGTTAATCCCGTTCCAGTAAATGTTTCGGCGGCAGTGTTCCAAGAAGTGATGGGATTTCGTCTGGCAAGCGTTCTTCCCATAAAAGACCACAGATATCCGTTTAACAACACTGTGACGCGGCGGATGTGACTCGCCACTAAATAAAGTCACTGCCTCTTCCCTTTTCCGGATGATCATTCACACACAACGAACGTCATTCAATTCAAAGTGTTCTTTTGATTCCCTCCTTTGACGGCAAAACCAGCAAACAAAAATACAGAGTCACATTTACATATACACACAACATGGCTACTTCCAAATACATACTTAAACATACTTCGACATGTCAATACACACACATAAATGCCTATGCTATTGGTCAAGATGTGATAATTTGCGCAGTTGCCTATCACAAATGTCTGTAGTACCGTGATCACGCCTTTGGTGGTGTGCCTCACAATGAAGAGAATAAATTATTTATTTATTTATTTATGCGAGGCAGGGCAACCGGCCCCACTGCACCTCGGTGCCCGGACCACATCTGTTCAACCGAACTCAGCTGACCTAGGCGTTGACGGGTTCGTGAGCCTGACACTGCCACAAGCTTTATAGTAGTAATGGTAATGTCAGACTTGTCAGGAACTCTTCTTGCTACTGAAGTTGTCACACAGTGAACCTCGGGAAACAAAGTTTTAAGCTGCATTTTACAGAGTAGTCCCAAACCGAGCTTTTGTTTACAGTATTTTGTGAAAGAGAATACTGTCTACTTACTGCAGTGTGAAAAACGATAGGGGTGTTGTGACCACGTGTAAGCAAAACCACAGCATCATAGCAATCATGCTAAATGCCAGACAATGATAATGTAAACAAGCATTTGAGTTTAACCTCATGATAAGTCAGCGACTGATGATTTGCGTGTCTAGGTTCCAACGTTTCATCCAATTAATCCAAGTACCTGTTTTTCATCTCACCTGTGGATAAAGATAAAAACTGTGCAGTTATACCATGGGCTTCTGTCTCATTCATGGGTACCAGCGAAGCCTCCGCATCGGCAACGCATCGTCTGAGGGCCATGGGATTATTTTCGATGGGGATAAACTCGTTATCTCCCGCCGCTTTGGTTCTATCTGTATCGGTGAAAAATAAATGATGTAGCAAGCCCAGCCAGTGGACTAGTCTAATACTTTATTGAGCGTTACTCATAGTAGCTTCTATGTCAGATAGCCTATTGCGCAACCGGAACGGCACCAGACGGCGGTTTCGCTCTATTGGGACCCGTAAGCACAGCGCGCCCCCTGGTCCCAGCAGGAATGAGCCCATGAGCTCTCGACACTAGGCACTTACACAACTGGTCAGTAGTTTGTGTTCACTTGGCTATGGGTGATGGTCACAGACCGCCCAAACTCATAAGCTAACTGCCGTTGCAGTCTGCCTAAAACAAACACACCGCATAATAAAGGGGTTGGTGCAGTGGTAGACTGCTTGGACTCTCTTCACCAATTAAGAGTGATGAAGCAGAACTAATTTTACGAAATGTGTGCCTCCAGCGTAGTTACTATGCAACTGTGGATCAACGTCGAAAATGCCGCTAGGTCTCACATACACTGATCTGTTCGTCAAAAACTGTTCAACCACGGTAGTCTCAGATAGTTGAATTCATCACCGAAACTGATAACTAGTGTATCATGCGTCTGATTAATGGCTTCGACGAGGCTTTTGATACCAGCTGTATAACAACGTCTAAAGTAAAGCGATACGTGTTCAAGACGTGCAAACCCCATCTTAATCCATTTCGCACATGCAGATTATAGATCAACGCAAAAGAAAATGGGATTTCCTAATTAGTTGGAGTCATTTGGTTACTTTACTTGTTCGTGGTGCTTTTGGTGGCTAAAAGCCTCTGTAGACATTGGCTAAAATGCAGCGGTTTTGAAGTGTCACGCATGTGAGTAGGAGGATGACCATGTTATTGCGACACATATGGTAACTCTGGGCAGTAGAAGGCCTACTGCGAGCACCTGCATAACTAACGAGTTCCAGAATTTGGAAAAAAGAGAAAATTAAAGAACCTTGAAATTCGTCAACACTCCTTCCATCCAAAACCTCGGCGCGCAAACAGGCAGTTCGCAGAAGTTGATGGACTGGCATGCACAACAGGTGGCCCAGCCATCGGAGCCTGGTGCCTAAAATAACGGTGCTGAGCGGTTCACGTTCTCTTCCTGTGCCATATACAAGGCGCCGAACACGCTCATTGCTCGCGCGGTGTTCCCACCAGACATGAGCCAAACTGTGGAGGCACCGATTGTCGAAGGTAACTACATAGAAGAGAAATAGTGACTCTTCGGTTGCATCTACATACATGCTGAGGCGCCGATGTCACAAATGGTGAATATTAGCAAAGGCGCCCGGTGAGCGAAACTAACCGTGGTATTAACAGTTCAAACCTCGCCAATGCAATTGTTCATTTGTTCTCCGAGCCTGGGGGCTTTGTCACAAAGGTTTCACCACCATGCGACGTGGCATCGTCAGTGCAGTGAGGTACAATCGCCAATGCATTTGACAGTGAACTGCGAGGCACTGTGGTTGGTGTTGGGTAGGTTAGTCTTCTTGAATGCCTGAACAATGGTATACAGGAGAGGGTGCAGCTGTGTGGACAAACTTCAGCTATGGTATGATATGAAGAAACGTTGTGTTTTAGCTCCTACCCTGTTTATTATCTACTTAACTTCCATTGGCTGTCATTGCAGTGCCTATCTCGAGCACTGTATAGATGGTAAGTTGTTGGGCATCCAACATTTCGGGGAGTGACTCTGAGCGCATGAGATAACCATCCGAATGATGTTGTTTGCCGTAGACTGAACGTAGCGAGCGTGAGTTGCAGCGTATGAAGATAGCTCCCGCTTCGATGGTGGTCAAGGTAAGACTGAGCATCAATGAAAGTCGAACTTCATATAGGATTTTTCCGTTCACAAATCGCAAATTACAAGAAAAAACATTGTGGCAAGATACGCTGAATTCCGGTATATCGAGTATTCTCGTCAGCTGTTTACATGCATTTCGTGAAAGCATCGCGTTGGGTTCAAAGGGAAGCAAGGTGCAAGACCATTCAGGTCAAAGAAAAACGAGCAATAACCTCATCGAACTAAGGCAAATGGCCGTATGTTCAGTCTGTTCGCACAAACTGCGCTTCAACCCCGAATAGATGAAGCCTCGGCAAACTGAATCAAACGGACATTGCTCTCTCTGTTAATTACTTTGAGCCAACCACGAGGACTTCGACATGTAGTGAAGTTCAGGAGGATCTGTACAATAGTGACTGAGTCTACTGAAGAGCCAGTAGAAAGGTTTCTGTACAACCCTAACCAATTATGAAAAATCAAAAACATTTAAGTGCGAATCGTCAGTGGTAGTGTTTGGGCAGTTAACCGTTCATGCTTGTTGGGTTAGGAATTCGTATTGGTGTCATTATTTCCGGGTATGTGATGAATGTTTTTCCATTATATGTGCAGCGTCTCACAAAAGCACAGGTTTACGAAATAATCATTGATACCTGTTTTAAAACACTTCATGGAATTGGCTTGTATTAGTCCTTCTGGTAGTGTATTACATAACTTTAGAATTCCTCGTTCTTTACAAAGCTGACGTGATACTTTGTTCATGCAGCGGACGCTGAATTTGTAACGGTGTCCTCGTGTGTTACAGCGTTCCCGCAGGTGAAATACTGGCCGCATTATGGGGAAGAGATTTAACTGTAGAACTCCATGGGTCATACTAAGCTTGTTATAACGCTGTACCCGCAATCGACCGGTTGATTCACGCCAGCTGGTAAATCTGCGCCCTTACGCCTGCTCTGTTTGACGCTTTGAAAAACCCGACAGGAAGGAAGACAGAAGAAGACTCAGCAGACCAGAATTGTATTAGGACAGAGAACGCTTATATTTATGTGTCGGTCTCACCAACCCTCCAAACATCACCAGGCGGATTTGGCTGTAAGCCCACCCTCCACACATGCTTGTCCGCTCCGTCTGTCCAGTCCACCGTCTTGCTCGGGCACTCCCGTCTTCGTCCGCCTAACGGGGGCATGGCAACGCACGTGATGTCTGACGCGCAATTTCATCAGCTTTCGGCTGGGCCCTAGCAACACGCTCGCAGGGTCTTTCCCAAGCACGAATGGTGGCAAACACGCGAGCGTTGGCAATCAGCTTTCTCGCCCAGCTGTAATAGGTCCATTCTTACTCAGCGGTAGGATAACGCCTAGAATCCGGGACCTTCACAACCTTTTATGTACGGAAGCTTCAGTAGACTGGGTACCATTTTAGTTGCGATGTGCTGTATTTTCTCCAGCTATTCAGTTTCACACTGGGTTATTGGACCGTAAGCTGGGGCACCGTATTCAACGATTGGTCTAATGAGCTAGGTGAATAGGCAAGGGACGGTTTCTTCCGACCGTATGGAGAAACTGCCCCGGAACATACGAAGTCCCGCAAGGTACAATTCCTCTGTATTTTCTAGTAATCACATAGCATGTTGTGAGAGAAATCCTAAGTCTGTGACAGATGTGTTGGGGTGGAGCAACTGGCCGTACAAAGTGTATGATCAAGTGGCTGGATGACTGGTGATACTGATGAACACCGACTTGCTTGTGTTTAGAGGGAGTTGCATTTCAATGGACCACGTTGACTGTCGATCTAAGTCATGCTGGAGTTCAGCGCAGTCGTCCTGGTTCTCAATGATCCTCCAGGTTTTCAAATCATACGCAAACTGGGCACATGGTGACTGGAGCAACTGAGGGAGATCCTTGACATGAATAAGTAATACTGGCCGCAGTACAGTTCCTTGAGGCACGCCACTGGTCCATGGGAACCAGTCTGTCAGGTAGTCATTGACCTGTACTCTAAACTTTCGTCTCCCAACAAACTCGTGTAACCACTGAAGTAGCATGCCACCGATTCTGAAGGTCCTCAGTTTACGAAGGAGTACCTCGTGGTACTCTCTGTCAAACGCCTTACTAAAATCGATGTACACCACGTCAACATCCTTCTGTTGATTGTGAGCTCGTACCTACTGGTAGTTTGCGCGCATCAAGTTGGTGATTCAGGATCGCCTTTTCGTAAATCTGTGTTGCACTGGCGTCAATACGTCCATCAATTCGAATAACGACAGCAGACACTCTTTCACAAGCTTCTCGAGAACTTTAGATAAGATCGAAGTCAAATAAACCGGTCTATAGTTCTCTAATTTACTCGGATTACCACCCTTGGGAAGCGGTCTCACTATCGAGCATTTCCAGTCGTTGGGAACAGATCCTTCAAATGGTGATTTATTGAATAGGTTTGTCAAGGCTGGTGAGATGACATTCGATAGGGACTTCAGTAGTAGTGGGCGCAGTCCGTCTGGTCCGGGGGGGCTTTGCACCATCGGGGTTAACGAGTAGCTGATACACTCCAACTGCATCACATTGTAGGCTGTCGAGCAAGACTGGCGAAACTTGTGCCGCTATTGGAACAGCTGTCAGTTTACTAGTAAGTAGACGGTATACTGGAAAATACGGTGAGGAACTGCGTAGCCAAGGCGTCCAAGCGCTCCGCGCTTGAGATGCGCGTCTGTCCGTCCAAGCTCTCTAAGACCGGCAGGTCGCCCCCAGGTTTCAGCTGACGTTTCATATAGGTAAATATTCGCTTGGGGGTGATTGTGGCTGAGGATGCTATCTCCTCTTCGAACTGCTGGCGTTTCTTGATGTTTGCGGAGTTACATAAGTTGCGCTGTTTCTTGTGCACGGTGTAATCTTCATCCCAACCCGAGTTGATGGATCTATCTCAAAGTTTGCGAGGCCATCGCGCTAACTGTCCTTATTCCGTTTCAAACCATTGAATACTTCAGGAAAACGAACCGAGTACACAGCGTGTTAAGATTCCCCTACCTTAACTAGCAACAGGCCTCAAGAGACGCATCCTGTGCTTGTGTCCAATCAGTCTGACGCGGCTTGGACGAGTTCGTGAAATAGTCCGTCTTCCAATAGTTGTATGTCGGCTTCCGTTGGTTCTACTACGGTAACGGCACTTCTGTACTTGTCACAATGGAGCAGTGGTCACTGTTAGCCAGAGGGTCAAGGACTCTGATCCACTTCAGCTTCCGCTCGCAGCTCGTAAACATTAGGTCCAGGTCACAATGAAGTATTGTTAGCCTTTCTATGCGTTTTCCTGCATGAATAACGTATTCCAGTTTTAAACTAGTTGGCGGATTTAAACAGTGTGCAGTGAAATGATGCAAATTCATACAAACTAAAGAATGAAAGTTAACAAACTCACCCAACATGAACCACAACTTGATTGGTCCCGGATTTGCCCAATCGATGTGCAGTTGCGCCATTTCATCCGTGCATCAAATTTCTTTGGTAAGCCGTTTATAGGTAGGCTGTGCCGAATAGTCTTCCGTCGAATGTTCCTTAAAGTAGTCCCCTCGTGCCGGGAGCCTAGTAATTTTCGAAATTCCTCGATGCTACGCCACTTGTTAGACAAACCGGCTTTCCATAAATTGCCCTATCAAAATAGATGTATTGAGGTTGTGCTAGTCCTCTTACCTGATGATTGATTTCCCGTCTAATATCTTGGAGATCGAGTCCGGTAGCTTTTATATCGTTTGCAAAGTCTTCATAGAGAATCGAAAGGAGCAAAATTGGTGCAAGTAAACTACCCATTGTGGTTCTTCCACCAACATCTACCGTTTCGGCTTTATATTTATACTAATGCAAAATTTTCCTTTGTAGTTTCAACCTCTCTGAACTGCCAACATCGAAATAATAAGTCTCAGTATCGCGTATGACAAACTTACCAAAGTCCAGCGAAGCCAAGCTACTCGGTTGTTCGTGGGGTCAAAGTAACACATCAAGTATGCGGAGATTAAACATCTAAAATTGTTCTAATTTCACAAGCCTTTAGTTTTGTCAATTAGGAGGTTAAGTTACTGCTGTTTGAATGTGCGTTGGTCTCAGGCGTATTATTCCAAAGCGGGAAAACATACTGATTTTCTCACTAACTGAGGCCAGAATTCTCAGGATCGAAGTAGTGCACTGAGATGAATTGTAAAGCGGTCGTTTTGGAACTGCCAACGAAATAAACATGCATCAGAGTTAACAGGTTAGGCTGCACTATTCATAGTCGATTAGTCAGCATAGTCACAACAATCAGTTGCAATACGCGTGTTTCTTTCTATGCACACCGGAGTTGGTGTCTTAACGTCCATTCCTCTTCCATTATTGAGCTATCAAGTACTGCCTGCAATCCGAAAACCTTAAAGATATGTACATACTGCGTTGGTGTTTATGGGTTGCCACTTGACTGAGCTTAGACTGCGAACTCAACCTGGAGATTAGGATATATGAGCCGGCGTAAAGAAATGTGCAGCCTAGTGACATTCGTCCGCAGTGGCGTGGTGGTAGCCAAACCGCGTAGACGGGAAACCATAACGTTGACTTGATTTTCGCTTAAGCATCCGATCAGCGATTAATGAAAGCCAAAATGCCGTTTATATTGCTGTTCAGTGTCATAACATATTGGAAACTATTGTTGGTGTAGGCATGGAAATAAAGGTTCTAGTACGAACACGTGTAGTCCCAATCCGTCTGGTCTGGCATCTTTCAAATCTAGCTCCCTAGTGAGCTGGACATTAAACTCTGTCCCTATTGTGCAGAGATCGTACACGAATTTGTTAATCGCACGGAGTAGTTGGCCCGGGTCAACTGACGTAGTAGAGGACGTTGACATGATCTACTTGGGTTCGTCAAGGTCATTCGACTGTCTATACCATTTCTCGGCCAAGTTGTCGTCTTGAGCAACAGAATTAATCTGAGGGGGCATCCAACATGAGTCTACTCAATTAATTTGAGCCGTGAGTACGCCACTTACTTGTGCAGGTGTGTAGGTATGCGTGTATAGCCCGTCGACATAACTGTCCACGACCAACTGGACGAGGCAAGTTACGGACTTTGGTATCCGATGGCAACAACCTGCGTTATGCACAGGAGACACTGCTAAGTGTCACGAAATCCTGTGCTAGGTTACAAGGGTAGTGTGTGAATGACGTAACACGAAACCAGCAAATTTCTCATACTTGCTACTTAGAGCTGTCTGCGTTTTTGGTTGCGCCATCTCGTTACAGCGCGATGGCACAGTAGCATGATCCCCAAGTATCAAGGATGAGGAATTTGCTGGTTCCGTGTTATGTCATTCACACACTACCCTTGTAACCTAGCACAGGATTTCGTGACACTTAGCAGTGTCTCCTGTGCATAACGCAGGTTGTTGCCATCGGATACCAAAGTCCGTAACTTGCCTCGTCCAGTTGGTCGTGGACAGTTATGTCGACGGGCTATACACGCACACCTACACATCTGCACAAGTAAGTGGCGTACGCACGGCTCAAATTAATTGAGTAGACTCATGTTGGATGCCCCCTCAGATTAATTCTGTTGCCCAAGACGACAACTTGGCCGAGAAATGGTGTAGACTATAAAATACTCCTTTCTACCCTAATATCACGGCGAGGGAGGTCCTCATTTTAGACTCAGCGTCAAATTTCTCCTTCGTGGAAAATTAGTGGTCAAGGTTCAGAGTTGTCATGTGACCCCATACAAGTCCAGTGTGATGTGCCTTAGGGTTAATTTGAAGAGACGGTTGTTTTGGTGTTTGTTAATGCCCTCGCACAGGCAATGGATTTCAATTTCCTACTGTTTGACGTGGAGACCAAACTTTTTCGTGCAGGATTCAGTCAAATGCTGACCAGCATCTGCTTCAGGGTGACCTAGACACCGTACATCGTTGGTCAATCCAAAGTTTGCTGCATTTCAACGTGATTAAATGCAAAATACTCGTTATACTGTAGTGACGCGAAAGGCAAAATTCGCAGGCTGAAAGGACAAGTATGGAAAACTAAGGAAAATGAAAAGTAGAAAGGACACCAGGGACGAACTTGGACAAAACAGCTCGAGACCAACGGAACAAGTTGGAAATGGTCAACGTGTGACTAACGATATCAGGCCCTGACCAGAAAGAACGGGAACGTAGTGGCGGACAGCCTGCTTTTTCGGGGATATACGCCTTTGGCCGCGCCTCCAGGAATAACCAAGAGGAGAGCGACGCAACCTCGATTAAGCAAATCAAGGGCATTGGAACGAATCTAGCCTGGTTAGAACATGATGAGCGGAAGCGAAAATATGAGGGCAAATCAGTGAATAGGGACCCCTTGGCTTGGCTGAAATCGGGGCCTGAATGTGACTCCGTGCGAAAGGACAATTAGTGCTGCGTGGTGGGCTGGAAATATCACCTATGCGTGCGCACACGCGTGCTAGTCTGTGAACCTGTTGTGCGGTGGTAATCAAGACTGCGCGTCACTACAGCTCGTTCTCGCTGCAACACAACAATAGAACAACTTCCCACATATGCTCGGAACGCATAAACTGCACCGAGCTTCCGTTGAATGGGATTTAGGTGTGAAGGTTCAGGTGGATTTAGGTTCGTTCAGGCAATCCGAAAAGGCCTCGAAAGCTGGAAACCAACACGTCCCTCTGTTGCGGCGGACGTTTGGACTAATGGACACCTTTATTTTCTGACAGATGGTCAGTGCGTTTGTTCACCCCATGACAGCCATGACTGAGGCGCGACCTCACTGCACTGCACCAACCTCAAGTCTCCAGCCTCCAAATACATCACTGGAATTCGCAATTCATCAGTATAAACAAAGGCTGAAAAGTCTAGGAGCATCCAGCAACGGTAACGTCGATTTCGAAGCGAACTAATAATGGTCTATTTAATTTTACACAATCTAAATCATGTGTGCTGCTATTTACTGCAACCCAGCAGTAACATAAACTTGAGCGGTCAAGCGTAGAAACCCGCAACAAAGAATAGTTGCCTGGAGTGCCGTAAAAAGATTTTTACTCCGAGTGTCTCATTCTTGGAATGCTGTCTCGGAGTCGGTCGTTACTGCACCGACACTAACCATATTTAAAAGTCGGTTGGATGACGCACTCAACCATTTACATTTTATTAAGTAGCCCGTCTCCGTCTTACTGTCGGGAAATACCTTGGAGTTATTAGCTATCGCCTATCGCATCTGCAAAACTGCGCGGAACGCATGGCTACTGCATTAAAAACGATAAGTCCACTCTTTTGACGGTAAAATTACTAACTGAATTATTTCATTACCTTTTCTCAAGTTGCCCATCAGACCACCGAACAAGTTTGTGAAGCAGTGCTTCTTAGCCCTCATATATCATATCACCTGGACCTGCGTGTAATTTAATGCTTCAAATTCATTACGCTTTCAATACCTGTTTCAGTTTAGATAGGTGTGCATAAAGATTTTTAAATGGTTTCCTAAGTCTAACTTTGTGTCTACCAACCCTTCATAGTTATGCCGTCAAATTTGTAGGATTGGACCAGTGCTCATCATTGAGGCTGCCAAGTAGGCTGAGCTTTAATATATTGGGTAAATTGCATTACGGGTACTAGAAAAAGCATACAAAACAGAAAGTTTGAGTGCAGAAACAGATAGTTCATCAGCTCTTGCTTTGATGACATCTGTTTTATAAATCGATGTGAATCACCCAATCGCGGAATACTATGACTCCGTTTAGAGGGTCTGAAATCCGGTCAACTAGTTAGTGATGCTAAAAGTCAAATGTTCAAATATATTTGTAATGTGCGTGACGAACCGGAGTTGAATGTCATAGCCATTATTCAAGTTCTATGCTCGGTACCAGTAGGAATTTCCTTCCTTTACCTGGCTTTGATAGTGATTTAACTAACACCTTAGTTCTCGACAAAACGAAAAGCGTCTTTATGACGTGGTCTTGTCGCATTAAGGAGTTTTAGTTGAAGGACGTGAAGATAACGCCTTTTCAAACAGACTCTTGGAACGGACTATTGAAGAGTCATAGAGAACGCTAACCATAACCGCAACGCACTTTGTTGTCGTAATTGTTTCCTTCAGTGTTGCTGAAATCTTGGGAGTCAGCACCCTGGCATGGAATGTTGTATCCGAAATTTCAGGGACGTCAATTCCTCATACTAAAAGGTTGAGTAAAATTATTTACTAACAAGACATCTAACAGTTTCCTCATTTACCCGATTGTGTACATGGTTTTGAGATATAGGATGACCGGGTTACTGACACTACCTACATAACTCTGCGAAAATACCACGTCAAATTGCTCCGAGAATACCTAAAAAGGCACCAAAAAGAATTAACGATGGAATTCAGTACTAATTCTATACAGCTGCAAAGGAACGCAAATCAGTTCGCCACACTGCATTGCGGAACTCTCATTCCATGTGTGGCAGATGCTTTTGCGCTAACTACACAAAGAGCAGATGACGGATTTCGACAACAGACCACTTTGCAGAGCGAATAGTGTTGCACCCGCCCCTGACACATTAACATCAATCCCAGGATCAAGGCACGTGTTCTTCAGTGTCTCCAGATGTGATGAAAGGTCGTCTTAGCTGTTTCAGTATGGCTGACTTTCGCACAAAAACAGTACAAGTAGTTATCATGAAAAAATTGCCAAAACTCGTGCCCTGACCATTAAAGGTTGCTCGATAAAATACAGGTTCCAATGTGGAAAGTAGGAGTAGTCACACCAATTTACAAAATAAAAATTGTGCACAGTTTGTTAACAAGCAACTCCATTTTACATGTTATTTACTGTTACGGAAGAAAGTATCGCAGAGAATCACGCTATGTTTTGTGGGAAACAAAGCCATATTTTGAAAACGGCACGGATCCTGTACAGCAATCGGTATCCATGCTGATCCCACGACATTAAAAGGCATCTCACGTCACCCAAACGCATTGCACTACGGTGAA